AGATGAGAAATATCGTTTCTTCAGAGATTCCATCTCCTTTTATATGCGTCTCATTCATAGTTACTTTCAACGCAATAAAAGCTATATCAATGAGCATAATAAAAATACAAAGGAAAAGGACCGTTTGAAAGGTTCATTTTATTTTGGTACCCATTGTCATTATTTTTGGTGGTGTTTATAACGTCTATAAACGTTGGCATGAATAAATTAAGGATGGGATCATAATTATATATTGAAATAATATGTAAATAATGAAAAGTCTCACCCCATAATAATTCCTATGTGTGCTATGCCAATAAGATTTACAATAAGGATAAAATTTTTTAAGACATTTATTTAATAAGAATTTTGCTTTGCTTGAAATTTTTGACACTAAAAAAAAAAAAAAAAAAAAAAAAAAAAAAAAAAATTTCAGATAAATTAGAATGAAATTAATAATTTAGAAAATTATTTAAATACGGAAATAGAGATAAATAATTAAATTTAGAAACGTAAAGTATGAGAAATAATTAAAATGTTAAGTAAATTAATTAAATAGAATGAATTGATTTATTGACTAGGGTAAACATAGAAGAGAAGAATATATCTGAGCACAATGGACAGATTAAGGTTAATAGAATCTTTAAAAAAAATGTGAGTAAATATAAATTAAAATAATAAAACATAAGAAAATAATTGTATCAGTAGAATGAATGAACTGAGGTGAGGTGCGTGTCGGGATAGCAGTAAATCGGAAAAAAGTCGGATTTATATTAACAACATCAAAATGGACAGAAATAAAATATAAAATTACCAAAGTAAAAAATATTTTCAAAAAAAACCGTGCAGGAAACCGCGTTTTGTTGTGGAGCGTCTAGAATTTTTCGAATTTTTTTTTTTTTTTTAAATTAAAATTAAAATAAATCATTAATAAATTTATATTTTAAAAAATACTTATAAATTAATTGGGATGTTGTTTACAAGATTCATACAACAATATAAAAAAACTCGTTTTTTTTTTTTTCCCTTTCAGTCTCATAAAAAAAATTTTATTTATTAAATTTGATTAACATCAGAATTCATACTCACATAATTAAAAATTCTAGTTGTTTGTGCAATAAAAACATAATTTAATTAAAAGGCGTCAGAATTATATTTTTTCTTGATACTAGAGTCCAACATTCGTTATGAGAGATCACATAAAAAACGAGATACTTGATTATTTAGTAAATTGTCCTATTTTTTAAGGTAGATTGTCAAATTATTCACTTTGATTTTGAATGGAAATTTCCTCTAATTTAATATATATCACAAGTTTTTGAATAATGCTTTGAGATCCAACTTTTACCGTTTTACTGAACGTTTACTATTTTCATAGAGTGTTAAATTTAAAAAGACCACACTGGACAAAAAGCATCGGTTCTTCAAAATCCAAAGTTCTAATTTTAGCTATCCAATAAATGGAGTTTTCAAAGTCTGAATTTCGTTCGACAGTGAATTCTGATGACTGTCGTTCATTCGAGAGAGACACATTGCTTAAAAACAAAATAATAATAATAATAATTTCAATTTAAATTGACTTTCGTACTTTTAAAAATAATAAAAAAAAAATTGAATGTGTAAAAGTTATTTTTCCGCCTTATTACTGTATAATAAATACCTCATGTTTTCTTTCCCAGGATTTCATGGACAATTTGTTGTATTTTTCGAATTCGTGACACCAATCGGAATATATTTTTTGATAATCATTTAAAGATTTTTTCTGTGATGTTATAGGAGCATAATAGAGCGCCATTTAACCAAAAATCGTAACGTCCAGCATCCAATTCTGAGACTCCTATTATAACTAAACCGTGTTCGTTTGTTTCTATGTATTTATCTCTCCTTTAAAAATATTAATATTAATTTACTTTGGCCATTATTATTATTATTATTAAATTTTTTCATAAAGACATTTGAGTTTTAAAATACCTAAATACAATTTGATATTTTCCTTTTTCTTTACTGTGATGGTACCAAGCAGATGCAAATGAATGCAATGCTTCCATGCCTTTAGGAAAGCATCCCAAATGAATGCTCTGACCCCAAATGGCCACAGCTTTTTTTTCAATGCAGAAGAATCACAAATTCCTACTGAGGTGTTACTAACATCTTGAAGTAATCCAAAATTAAATGGAATGCCATGACTTGATATCTTTAATTCAATTCCACTGTCGAACTCTGAAATCTGTAGCAAAGTATATGGCTTTGTGCTAAAAAAAAAAAAAATCACACAAAAATAATCCAGTAACATATAATATATATATATATATATATATATATATATATACATATATATATCATCTTTTACAGTAATTTAATGTTTTTATACCTTTTTTTTTTAAGAGTAAAATAAAAAAATTGACATGTTTAATGATTTGTACAAAAATGTGAAAAATAACTCAAGTTGATTAAGAAACTTACCTCGAATTCAATTTCTTTTCAGCATTTTAAAATTGATGTTGATTTAGCTGAAAAAGTTATAATTGAAGAATCAATCCATCCACTCAATAAAAAAAAAAAATATCATGTAGGCTTACTAATACACTTGTAAATCGCTACCATTTATAAACAAATTTTGACTTGAATAATTGTTATAATTTTTCAATTGTTTTATGAATCCATCATTTGGTTTGATATTCCTTTTTTTCTTTACAAAATCATATGCTGCATCAAATGAGAAATTACAAAATTTAATTAGATATCCCAGTACAATTGAAGGCCCACGAGAGTAACCAGCATTACAGTGAACAAATATCTTATTTTTTTTATTTTCTTTTCTAACACTTTCAATATAATTCGAACAAATGTTTAATATATTTAACAAAGGTGCTTCTGGTTCATCGAAAAGATTCACTTTTGCATATTTAATTTTGGGAGAAAATACTGACTTGGGCAAATCAACCCCTATACTCAATACATGAGTGATTCCAAGGTCTTCGAGCAAAATCACACTAAAAGCAGGATCTTGAGATCCTAAAAACAAATACTCTAGAATCTGTGCAATTTTTAAATCAGGTGTAGAATCTATTACAAATCCAGTGCAAGAATCGACAACTACTTCTTCATTTATTTCTCCATTATCTTTTTTCACTTCAATAAATTTGTATCCCAGCAAAGAAGTTGTAACAGTCTCCACAGATTTCAATTTTTTTTTAGCATTTACAATTACAGATTCTAAGCTCATTTTAAATTTTATTAATTAGAACTTTTTTTTTTTTTTTCTCTTCTTTAAATAATTCAAATTAAAAAAATATATATTTACAATAGATCAGCTGGAAAAACAATCCATTTAAAGTTCATTTTAATTTAAGTTCATGATAAAAAAAAAAAAAAATCAAAATAATATTATTTAAAAATACAATAAAGCGTTTGTACACTGGACCTTAAAAATTTTTAAAAACTTTATACATAAAATATGTGTAACAAAATTAATTTTGAGTATTTTCACTGTTTTTAATATATTTTATTTCTTTAACGTTATTTGAATTACAGATGTTGGTACTTATTTTTAAAAAAAATTAAAGGACACTTTTCTTTTTTTTTTTTTTTTTTTCAAATCTCGTATTGAAATAATTTGGTAATTAACATGTAATTTACGTTAAATAATTGATTTGAAATCAAATTGAGAAATCGTATCAATTTTCATCATAAATGCCTTTCAAAATCCGTATGGTTGTCAACCTGAAATGTATTACAATTGACGTGGAATATGAGTTAAATGGTAAAAATGAAGTGACAAATATTAATAAGTCTTAATTCAATAGAGTTATTTTCAAAAAAAGGTAATTAAAATTGTTTTATACACATTTTTCATTGTTTTTACTACAACTTACTAATAATTATCTAGTATCGACAAAAAAAATCGTACATTAATCGATAATAGAAAAATAGTATAGCTTATATTTATGAACTTTATGAACTTTTAAATAGTGGTTACAATTTTTTTAAACACATAAAAAAATAAAAAAATTTCCAACCTAGTTAGTATTTATATTGTAATAGTATTTGGTTAGTTTCTTAGTAATTCAAATTATAACAATGAATGTTGCAAAATACTACCAAATACGTATGTATATTAACCCGGTTTGTTTTCCTATTAAATAGAAAAATTCTATTAAATTAAAATTTACAGTTCGAAACAGACATAAGTAAATAGCTATAATTGATGCATAATTTTCTTTTTATTTTTTTCAGAGTTAAATTTAATAAGAAAAAAAGATGTTGAGTAATGATGAAGCCGCCATTAAAACCGGGGTTGTAGCTTTAGCATGGAAAAGATTGGGGCAACTTTATCAAAAAACATTAGATGACTGCACTCCTCACGTTGCTGGGAGATGGATTTTTGCAGGTCTTCTAGTCTTAAGTTTTTTATGTAGGGTCTTCATTGCTCAGGTAACATCTTTGACAATTTTAAAATGCATACATGCAGAGTGTGTAATGTACATCAAAATTTTTTTTATTAATAAAAATGTTTTTTAGGGTTGGTACATAGTTACATATGCTCTTGGCATTTATCATTTAAACCTTTTTATAGCATTTTTAACACCAAAGATGGATCCTTCAATTTCAGATTTTGATGGTATGATTTCATTAAAAATTTATTTGTTTTGCATTGTAAAAACAGTATAATGCTTAACGTTTCTTTAAAAACACATTTTTTTTTTTTTTTTTTTTTTTTGTTTCACTTTTATTTTAACAAATTAGAATTTATTTATTTATTTTTTTTTATAAATTAGAAAAATTTATTGTTTTTAATACACTTTTCACGAATAAACTTTGATTCAAATTATTATTCAAAATTTGTTCATTTGAATTGTTCATTGTAGATGATGGAGGTCCTGAATTGCCAACTAGAGCAAATGAAGAATTCCGCCCCTTTGTTAGAAGACTTCCAGAATTTAAATTTTGGTATTCATTTACAAAATCTACCTTGGTTGCTCTTATTTGCTCCATGTTTGACTGTTTTAATATACCAGTGTTTTGGCCTATACTTGTTATGTACTTTATAACATTGTTTGTAATTACAATGAGAAAGCAAATAAGAGTATGTATCTTTTCGAAAAGAACTTTTATATTAATTTTAAATTTTAATTTTATTAAATTTTTTTGTACCAGACATTTTCTTTTTCATTGATCATTTTCAAATTAAAAACGCTATGCATAACATGTTTAAAATATATAAAAGAAATATGACTATATTTTGAGATAAGAGTTAGATATTACTAAATGAAATTTATAATTTTACATATGTAAAAGTAGTTAAACATGTTTTCATTTTTGCTTTAATCGAGGATCTTTTACTAACATGCTTATAAATTGTTTCAGCATATGATAAAATATAGATATCTACCATTCACTCATGGAAAGCCTAAATATCAGGGGCTACCTGATTCTGGAAAGGTGATTAACTCAAAGTGATTCAACATCTAATATGATTTACCGGCAGGTGATGTACCAAGTGATGAACTTTAAGTAGTAAAAATATTTCAATTTATCATTTGTTATATCTAGTCGAGTAAAAAAAGAAAAATGTTTTCAAGATGTGTTTCAAAAGTATTTATAAAAAGTTAAATAAATTTATTCTAAGTATGACATAAAAAAAAAAAAAATACACAAGTTGCCTGCAGTTCTTTTTGAGAGTTTAATCATATCGAAATAAGTCAAAATAATGAGATTCATAAAAATAAAAATAAAAAATGTGCAGGTAACATCAAATAAGAGAATTAAAAATGCATTTTAGGCAATGTTGGAAATTATCAAAATAATTATGTAATCACTTAGAATAACCAATTTTTTTTTTTTTAATTAAAACCAACTATAGTAAAATAAATAAAAAATTTAATTAAAATTTTTTACACTTTTTATAAACTGCATGTAGCTATTAAAAATATTATTACAATTTCATTTCCAAATATCTGATTTAACTACTATTAAGTCATTCTATTCGAATACTATTTACAAAACCAATCACTAAATGAAAGTTATATTGCAATTAATAACTGTTCATCGACAATCATATTAATAAAGGAAATGATTGATTGATTGATTGATTGTTATTTAAAAAAAAATTTTTTTTTTATTTAAAAGAATGTATTATAACAAACAAAAATGATAGGGAAATTCTTTCATTTCCATTATTTTATAATTTTTCTTTATTGATTTATAATGAACAATGTTTCCAGTATTCATTAATATATTTTACACGTGTAATAATATAGTTTTTATTTTAAAAATTTCCTTTAAAAACAACTAGACTTTTTATTTGAAAATCGCCATAATTTAATTTTTAGTCAAAAAGCAAACAAACAGAAATAACTATTTAATTCTAAATTAGAATGTAATTTAATAATTTCGTTAAACTATAGTTGGTTTTAATTTAATTAATTTTTTTTTTTTTAAATACTATTTATAAAAAAAAAAAAGTATAGGTAAGTAAATGTTCAGCTTGTTATGTCACTGTGCCATTTATGGTAAATACTAAATAAAAAAATTAATTGTAAGATTGTAAAGTTGAAAAAATGAATTTTATCTTCTGTTTAAAATATTAGATATTAATTTCTTGATCTGTGTTTAAAGTAACAACTTATGATGTATTTATAAGAATTTTTTTTTTTTTTTTTTTTTAAATAAAAAATTCGCCATTTTTATTGCTTATTTTGATTGGTGTTTAAATTAATTTAATTCTGCTGCTCACCATAAAAGTATTTTATAATTATATTTTCTTTAAAAAAAAAAAATAAACTGCTGAAGGCAGACAATTAATTTTACGTAATTTTTATAAAAAAATTTTAAATGAAAATTTTATTTAAGTATGCTTTTGCTTTATGACATTAATTTTTTTTTTTTTTTTTTTTTATTAAATTAATAATTTTTAAGATAAGAAAGTCTCAAAGAAAATTAAATTTAAAAAAAAAAAAAAGTTGCAGTTTTAAATTTATCATCAATCAAAATAAGTTAAGAAAAAAATTTTTTATTTATTTATTTAAACTTATTGGTTTGAACACAAGATTGCCGGAATGTTTCTACTAGAGTTTATTAATATTGTGATTGTTTAAAATGCATGTTTGAAATTCTTTAAATGTAGTTCCTTTATTATTAAATTTGTATCGTTAGCTAAAATAATTTTTTTAATTGAACAGTTTTTCAACTGACATTAATTTTCTTAAGATAAAAATTTATCCTTTATATCCGGTAATCTGGTGTTTAATATAAGAGGTAGGTGTTATAACGAAATATATTCTACCATAAGTAAAAATAAATAAATGATTAGATGTGAACTTTTGCTTTCCTATTTATGTGTATATATGTATTAAAAATAAAACATTGTAATAAATTTGTAACTTTTTTTAAACAATGTTTTATTGATAAATATCACTGCTTAGATTTAAAAACACATTATGTTTAAAATATATATATATATATATATATTTTGATAGGTATTAGCCATTTAAAATGGCAACAGTGTATAGGAAATAAAAATTAAAATTTTTATTAATACATTTTTTTTTTTTTTTCTACAACTTTTTAATGTTCATCGAGAAATATTGAATAATTATTGTAAAAATTGTGTTAATTATTACATGATACATATTTAAACTAAATTCTGGAACTTTCGACTGTCGATTATTCGCTTAAAATCCCGGATCACACGGATTTGCAGCATCCATGAATTAATTCCTTGTAGTTCTTTTAAGTTAAATAAATATAAACTACAAATTTAAGTTTCGTCATTAAATGATATTTTACAGATTTATAATTGTTAAAAAAATAATGTTAAAAACTAATTAATAATAAATATAAAATATGTGTAAAATAAATAATATTAAGTATTAATTAAATGAATATTTTTCTTTTTGAATTGAGATTCAGGATTAACATACATTTTTCATTATAAATTAATTATGACAAACATAATCCTGAAGTTGTACAAATACTAAATATTAATATGTTTATTTTTTATTATTAATATTTACGTTTATATTAACCTATTAATCTTAGGAAAAAAAAAACAAATTTATTCAAGCAAAAGTTCAAATCTGATCATAAAAAAAAAAAAAAAAAATGTAAATATAATTTACATTTTACACAATCATTTAAAATATCATATCTATATATTATTTAAAATTACTGTTTATTTTTCAGATGCAAACAGAGGACCATAAAAACGAAAATACAGGATCCGGTCAAATTAGGGAGGTTTAATAGTTTTTCCAGATGCTAAAGAAAAGGAAAACAGTTATTATAAAAATCCTGGGCTACGTAAGGAAAAAGTTTTATTTTAAAATATCTCAAACAAACACTTGAAAATTTTTAAGCTTATTCAGTTAAAAAAAAAATAATATAAGTTATTGATTTAATAGACTGCTCATTAATACATATAAAAAAAAAATTTTTGAATCGTTAATATTAAATATGAACTTCACATTAAAATTTACATTGATGAAAGCGAACATGAATTTACAGATCATGTTTATTAATTAACCTTTTAAAATTTCCAATAAAAAAAAATTTATCAAATTGTTAAAGATAATATATATATATATATATACAAAGCCACGCATAAATATATGTATATATATATATATGTGTGTTTGTGTGTGTGTGTGTGTGTACATATGAGTAAAGGTGAGTGTGTTGATAAAATAAAAAGAAAAATATATTTTTAAAAAAAAACTGTGCTCAATATATTTTTTATTGTTTTCTAAAATTTTGATGATAATAACCAATGGTAATAATTAATTAGTTTCATTTAAAAAAGTTTGTCTATAAGAAAAAAAATTCAACAATTTATTTTTATTGAAATCAAATGCCTCTGTGTGTTGAAAATGAACTTAGAAAAAAACCTAATAAAAAATAACAGATAACATGTTGTTGAATTATTTTAGTAAAAAATACATAAAGTTTTACTTACAAGTTACATAAAGAATTTCATTGAATCTTACAGAACATAAAACTTCAAACATTTAAAAGTTGAAAGTAAGCATAATTTTTTTTTTTTTTTTTTTTTATTCATATAAATCCGTGGATTTTAATCTAATCAGGAAACTTGAGAATATTTTATAATTGAATAATCATTTTTTCAAAAATATGTAGTATTTATCATGTTTAAAAAATTCAACCTACCCTGTTGATTTTAAATGTGAACAATTAATTTTTTTTTTTCTTTTCTTGCACTTGTTATTATTATTTTACAGTAAATTTTATTTAGTGTAATTTTATTTAATGTATAATTTAATATGAAAACATAAACATGTACCTTATTAATATATAACGAAAATCGTATAATACATATTTTTCAATAAAACTTTACCACCTAAAATTTTTTCAAGTATTTCATTTTTTTTTTTTTTTAAATTAAATTTTCAAAATGGTATATAAGGGGAAAAATCTACATATATACATATCTAACTGATTCCTTATTTAACTTGATGTATTTGAAGGAAGAATTTACAAAAAATAAAATACCCTACCTAGTTTTCAATAACATCTGTGAAAAGATTTAATCAATAAAACTATCGTGACAAAATTTTCTTTGACGGTCATGAAAAAAAAAAAGGACCACAATCTACAATGTCGAATTTCATTTTCTCATATGTCAAATATTAAAAACTTGATTATTTAATCGTTTTTTTCTTTTTATTTACCTGTTTGCCGAGATGTTCGCAACGATTTATTCAATTTAAAGTTAAACTATTGCTTCAGATGTATTCATTATAGTTTTTTGACTTTCAAACTGATATCGCTTATTAAATTTCATTCTAAAGATGCAAAATGACTAATGAAGATATGATAACGAAAAATTTGTAATACTCAAAAAAAATTAACTTAAAGTTTAAATCAAAAACAAATTAAATTATCGAACAAGAAAAAAAAGTTAAAAGATTTCTTCAATTTATAATTATCATTCTTGAATGTTATAAAAACTTGTAAAATAATTTTTTTGTAGTGTTATTTATTTAGTTTAAAAAAAAAAAAAATTCGGAAAAATAATTTGAAAACGGAGTTAAAATTCATTAGCCATTGTCATCGAAAGAATCAAATATTACTTTTATCTTAAAATAAGTCATTAGAATTTTAAATAAAAAAGTATTTATAACACAACAAGATGCAATAATAAAAAAAAAAAAAAAAAAAATTAAATTGTGTTGTTTGGCCGTTCACGAAACGGTTATAAAAGAAATTGTCGTGACATTAGAATTTTTTAGTAAGACTTTCAAATGAAAACAATTATTTACATGTAACAATAATTTGTTTTGTATCTTGATAGTAAAAATGTCTGTTGCAGATTTCGGACCAGATTCCGGTGGTAGAGTAAAAGTATTAATTATTTTAATTAATAATTTTAATTAAGTATGAGTTTATAAGTTTTAAAGACTAAATTTTTTCAAATTTTCTTATTGTTTATAGGGTTGTACTATTATAAAACCTTTAGTTTACGGTAACATATCTAGATATTTTGGTAAGAAAAGAGAGGAAGATGGTCATACTCATCAGTGGACAGTTTATGTCAAGCCCTATCATAATGAGGACATGTCTGCTTATGTTAAAAAAATACAATTTAAGCTTCACGAGAGTTACACTAACCAAACAAGGATAGTTACAAAACCACCCTATGAAGTTACGGAAACTGGCTGGGGCGAATTTGAAATAATAATAAAAATTTTCTTTCATTGCCCAAATGAAAAACCTGTTAGTGAATTCGCATCCCACTGCAAATTATTTTTAATTTTATTTCATTTTTATTGAAAAACTTGATTGTTTTATATTTAAGGTTACTATTTATCACATACTAAAACTCTTTCAAACCGGATCAGAAATTGCAGTATCGAAAAAACCATTAGTTTCAGAATTTTACGAGGAAATAATATTTCAAGAGCCAACACAGTTAATGAAACATTTACTAAACAATGTTAGACCGATTTCAGTAATGCCCTACAAACATGAAACTGACTGTAAGTAAAATTTATTTAAAATTTGATTGTGCTTCATGCTTTTGTTGTAAAACTATTATTCTCACTATGATTTTTGAAATATTTTTTTTAATGACTAAAATTGCTTTAATTAAAATTTTATTATTTTTACATTGTATTAAATTGCATTATTTCATATAATTGAGACTTTAATTTTTTACAATTTTTTAAAGCGAATAAATTAATGAGGCTACTGAATTTGTGTTTATAATTAAAATTTTGCAAAAAAATTAAATATTTAAAATTAAAATTTTTTTACTTTAATTTATTCCATTTATTAATTGTCAGAAGTTAGAGATAAATTTTGTTTTAATGATTGATTTTTTTTTTTTTTAAGTTATCAGTAAAGTAATTTCATTAGTAATTTATTTAATTTTATTTTCAGTTGAAGAAAAAAAGGAAAAATCGTTACTCAATATCAAGACAGCTAAAAATAAAATAAGACATGAAATAAGTGACTTAAAAGACAGACTGAAATTGGCTAAAGAAACTATAACAAAATTCAAAAACGAAATAAGTAGGCTTCAAAATGATGAACATGTTCCATAATATTATTGTAAGGAAATCATTCATTTTAAATTTTCAATTTTATGTAAATAGTATATTTTATATTACTAAAAATAAGAAAAAATATAATTTAATAAAAAAGAAATACTCTGTGAAAAATTTTGTGACATAAAATTAAATGTGCTTTTTTAATAATATTTTCATGCGTTCATTTCTGTCCTTCAAAAATCAATCACTTACTAAAACAATAACACAAAAATTATTATTATTAATTATTATTTTAAATTAATTCATTACCAAAAAAATTTTTTTTTAAGCTAAAACTTATTGGTCTTTTGATACATAATTATAATTAACAAATACATGATTGCAATTGAATAATGAGTAAACTTCACTTTATTCGAACTCACATACATCTACTTACTTAATTTTAACATGAAAATACATAAAAACATAATTAGAAAAAATAGGTGACCTTGAAATAAAGAAGGAAAAAAAAAAATTCATTTTTAGGAACCATTTATTTTTTTTTTAACTTATACAACTTACAAGTAATTTATTTCTGTATGACAAACCTAAAGTACCTAATTTCAGATACAATACATAAAGAGGATAAAAATATTTTATTCTAACTCTTAAATAATTAATTTGAAACGCAAATTTAATTTATGCAGATAAAAAAATCAGGATAACTATCAATATCCGTCTGATTATATTTTGAAAGAATTTTTTAAGAAACAAAAGTAGCGTCGGTAGCAGCTACCTTTAGTATCTTTCAATTCCTCAATACATAGCTTACACTTTGCCGTTAAAAAATTATTTTGTTAATAATAAATACTGTATTTTTAATGAAACTAAACATTTAAAAATAAGTGCATTTATAAGTGATTATTTAAAAAAAAAAAAAAAAAAAAAAAAAAAAAGGTTATTCAAAAGCAATTATTTTAAAATAGTTTCTATGATAAATAAAGTCAATTATTTCAAAAAACCAAAGATTAAAAAACTAGTATTAATATTTTTAACCTGTACAAAAAAAAAAAAAAGTTGAAAACCCTATTTATTATTTAATGTAATAAAATACCACAAAAACTATTACTTTTTTCTTTACATTTAAAAAAGTCTAGTACATTAAAAATTAAATCAAAGAAAATTTTTTAGATTCATAAAATTTATAACACAGTCTTAAACTTATAGTAGGAAATATTCTTTTAAATATTGTCAAAAACCAAACATTAAAATTTGTATTTGTAGTTATTTATTACATGTTAACTCTGCATGACAATACTAAAAAGAAAAAACATTATATGTGTTTTTAAAAATTTTTAAGCATATTTAAAATGCACTTATACTATTTTAATGAAATAATTTCATTAAGAAATAGTTTTAAAAAATTATTAAAAAAAAAAAAAAAAAATTAATTAAATAAAAAACACTGTTTGGATGTAAACAAAAAAAGCATGAAATGCTTTACATGGTTTATAATTTATTGAAGTTTAAAAAATTTTTTTTTTGTAATTTTAAACAGTATCATGCCTGACATTATAAAATATGAATTAATTGCCCAACATAAATAATTTGTAATCAACTTAACATATCATGGATTAGAAGGAAACCAAAAATTTTTGAAAATTAAATGATAACGGCAAAGTAATTTAAAGCATTGTTTCACATTAAAATATCCACATTAGAAGTCCAATTTTAAATTTCACATTCTTTTCCAGCATTTTTATTGACACAACCAACATCCACCAGTTTGCTCCTGATAAACTTCAATGACATCATCATTTTCCATTTCCAACTGCCAAAAAATTAAACGATTTAAATTTCAAATTGAATTTGTAAAACTTTTCTCGAAAATTTTCATTATCAACATGTTACAATATCACTTTTAAAATATGTATAGGTTAAAATGTAAAACGATGTTTAAAGAAAAAATAAAAATATACTTTACAAAATTACCTGCTTTGGTGTTTCATCATCATTGATCCTCTTTCCATCAAAAAGAAATCTTAGCGAAGTCACAGGTACACCAACCCTTTCACTGTATGACTTTTTTAATTTACCCATTTGTGTTGTCATTTTGACTCTGAAGTGAATTTCATTTGAATCCTTGACATATCAAAAAAATTTTAAAACATGTCTTAAAATTAATCCACAAGTCGACTAGATAAGTCTCAACTTAAAAGAATATGAATTTCGCAAAAAAAATTCAAATAATAAAATACTGTCATGTTTTATAAATTTACATTATAATAACATACATTACATATGAAATTAGTAAAATTGAATTTAATAGGTTATAAACAAATAATTAATCATTTATAATTATTGAAGGGTAAGCCACATGCTTCTTCTGACCTTGACTCAAGTGTATAGGGCGTATATAAATTACATTCAACTATAAGGTATCAACTAAGTGAAAATTTTAATGTTTTTTTTTTAAAAAAGTTGCTTAAACTTACGTTTCCTACAACTTTCAATTTGATGTAATCACTACTAGCGTCTACTGGTCCTGAATCTGCTTTCTGAAGAGAAAATTATTTAAATGAATACTTATTGCAACATTATTAATGCGAACAAGAAAAAGTTAAACACATAAATATTTCAAATACGGAATAAAATACAGTAAAAAAAAATTAATTACCTGATTATCACCCATATTTAATTCCAATGAATTAATTAAAAACCTATAATAATAGACTATAATCCCGATTCTGTCAAAATGGCTGACCGGCTTCTATTCACTACCGCGGAAAGTTGACAATGAAAAACGTGGCATTAGCATTTGAAAATTAGTGGCGCCAAAAACAACAAAACTATTCTACCTTTATCTTTCAATTACCAGCTTTAATTTTAATTTAAAGTGTTTGAAAAACAAAAAATGTAAGACATTACTGTTTTGCGTAGTAAATAAATGAGATAATCAAGAATATTTAATCGAAATTAAAATATTTTTATTAAAAGTTTAAATTAAAAAAATTGGTACATTTTACTCAATGAAAGTCACTTATTTAACTTTAATCAGTTAAAAAAAAATTAAAATGTGTATATATATATATATATATATATATATATATATATATTACCGCAAAGGTAGCTAATTTATTTAATTAATAAATTGCCGATTATAAGGAATTTTTTTTAAATTAAAAAAATTAAATTTTTTTTTTATGTCAAATTATTTTATTATAAAACTACAAATATCTAAGTTTATTTATTATTATATTTTATTATTTATACAGTAATCAAAAAATTTTAAGATCATGGATTTCTGAAATTCTTTCCTGCATATTTGGCATTTGGTCCCAATTCTTGTTCGATACGCAGGATTTGATTGTACTTTGCAAGTCTTTCAGATCGACAAGGAGCTCCTGTTTTAATTTGACCAGTTCCTAGACCAACCACCAAGTCTGCAATAAAGGAATCTTCTGTTTCTCCAGATCTAAAAAAATTAATGAAAAACTTAATTTGTTTATTTGTGAAAAATAAACCTACGAAGAATTAAAAATTAATTTAGAAAAATTTTTATACCTGTGAGACACCATTGTACCCCAGCCATTAGATTTTGCAAGCAGATGAGCCTTTATACTTTCAGTCACTGTTCCAATTTGATTGACTTTTAAAAGTAAGCAATTACAAGCTTTATTTTTAACAGCCATTTCAATTCTTTTGGGATTTGTGACAGTAAGATCATCCCCAACAATCTTAAGAAAAAAAAAAAAAAATTAAATTAATTTTAATCAATTATTTTATAATTTTCATGAAAAAATATTTTTAAAAAACTTTTTAAATTGTATTGGTACCTGAATATTAGCTTTACTAGTTATATTTGACCAAGCTTGCCAATGATCCTGATCAAAAGGATCTTCAATGGATACAATGGGGAATTCTTTTAAAAATTCCATGTAGAGTTCTGTAAGCTTTTCATAGTCTATACATTGGGATTTATCATAGTTTGGATTTTTAAAATCCAAATTATACAATTCATTCCTAATATAAATGAAACATTTAAATTTTTAAAAAATTTTTTAGTCAGCTAATTTTGAAATTCAATTTAAAAGTTCATTTACTTGTAAAATTCTGATGCAGCGACATCCATTCCTATGTCAATTTTTCCCTCATATCCTGCTTTAGATATTGCTTCAGTAATTAATAATAATGCTTCTTTGTTATTCAAAATATTTGGTGCAAAACCACCCTCATCTCCAACAGCAGTGGCATCAAGGCCAAACTTGGCATGAATAACTTTTTTTAAATGATGATAAACCTAAAAAAAAAAAAAATAAAGCAATTTTTAAATAAAAATATGAATTTAAATTAATGAAAATGAGAAGCTTTAAATTAATGTTTTTTTTTTTTTTTTTTTTTTTTACTTCAGAACCCATTCTCATGGCTTCAGTAAATGAGGTAGCTCCAGTTGGTAAAATCATAAATTCTTGCATTGCCAATTTGTTTCCAGCATGAGATCCTCCATTGATGACATTAAATGCAGGGGTTGGTAAAACAATATTGTCATTTCCAGCTAAATTAGCAATATGCCTAAAACATTTTTGTAATAAATTCATGTTATTTTTTATACTTTATTTTATGAAAAAATATAATAAAATTAATGTATATATATATATATATATATATATATATATATATATATATATATATATAAATGCATTATTTCTATTTTTAAATTTCTTTACAGAGTATTTGCTACTATTATTATTAAGGCATTATTAAGCTGCTTGGTTCAAATCAAAATTTATAGTGGATATTACCAATATACCTATATAATGAAACTCCCTTTTCAGCAGCACCAGCTTTGCATACAGCTAATGAAACTCCTAAAATTGCATTAGCGCCCAATTTTGATTTATTATCCGTTCCATCTAATTTTATCATAAATTCATCTATTTCTTTTTGTTGAGTAGCATCAAAATTTTGTTTTAATAATTCAGGTGCTATTATATTATTAATATTATTAACAGCCTTTGAAACACTTTTTCCGTGATATTGAGTTTTATCATTATCTCTGAGTTCCAAAGCCTCATAGATTCCAGTGCTGGCACCTGATGGTACTGCTGCTCTAAAAAGCCCTGTAATGTTTAATTTATTTATTTTAAAATAAGATTACCAAGTAGAGATTTTCAAAAACCTTCTAATGAAAATTCTACTCTAATTTTATTTTTACCTTTATCAGTTAACAAATCTACTTCGACTGTTGGATTTCCTCTGGAATCAAATATTTGACGAGCTTGAATACTTTTTAGACCCATTTCGAAAAGATTTAACGAAAAATCAACTTGAATTTTTCTAAATGACGATAAAGAAGCGACCTGAAGACAGAGAGAGAGAGAGAGAAAGCGAGATAGATTTAAAATATTTGTTAAAAATATAAACTTATGCAATTTTATATATATATATATATATATATATATATATATATATATATATATATATATATGCATAAATTATTAATGTAAAAATACATAATTTACATTTAATATGTTAAATTTAAAACTAGACGTCTAAGTCGTCTGGAAAAAATCAAATTCAAATTTTAAAAATATTATATTTGTTCGGTTCAGATTTTGTGTTTCTCAAAATAATTATAAAATATAAAAATGTATATTTTGAATATTAATTAATATAAATACACATCTTTGAAAATTTAAAAAAAAAAAAAAAAAATTTCAACGCGACAAACCTACCTGCTCAAGTGAAATCTACAAGATTACTGTAACCTTTGAAGGGCATTTCTTGGCACTAATTATTTCGTGTCAGGAGTAAATTAATCGTGGATTGTTCAAACAAACAAAATTAGAGAAGGCAGTGATATTGTGTTCTGTGAGTAGTTTTTCAATTATAAATGTAAAAATTTTATTTTAAATCTAATAAATTAAAAAGTTTTCGAACTATTTATGTATTACCCTTAAATAATAAAAAGGTAAAAAGTTAATTATTTTGGCAATTAATGTTTTTGTGTTTTGTAACTGCACATTTTACAGATTATACATATTTCACATTTATATAAAAAATATGGCTGCTCCGAATTCTTTGTATTATCTTATTGTATTTATTTATTAAAATTAAGAAACTTTTGTCGTTTTCTTGGCTTTTAAGTAATTATAAAAATTTTTAAATTATTTTTACATTTATTATCACAAATTATAGTTATTACGAATAAATTTTTAATATATTTATAATAAATTTTGCCACCGGTTTTAAAATAGAAGAACTTTTCATTATTATAGACACTAGATTTTCTAAAGTAAAATGTCACGAAATTTTTAATATGTCTTTTAAAATTTTTTTTTAGTATTAAAAACACAATATTTTATTTTCACCAATTTATATTTTATATATGTGCGTTTTCAGTTACCCATAATAATTAGAAAGGTAACTGTTAAAACAGTTGTTTCAAATTTTAAAAAAAAATATTTTCATTTTAACTTTATTTAATTATATTTTATGAAGCATCATTAAACATATTATTAATTTTTAAAATTTTTGTTTTCATTTCATCTAGCCTTGATAAAATTAGTTGTAATTTCTTGGCACTTAAATACAAGGCATTATTGGTTTTAGCAAATAAACAATTTTATTTAAAAAATAATAATTTTAGCAATTTGAGGTTTATATATGTAAAATTTTTAAATAAATGATTTGTTAATTATTAATTTGATTGTAATTGTTAATTTACTTCAGAGAGAGAGAGAGAGAGAAGTTTTAGCAATCTTTTTCCAATTCTAAGTTATAGTTGTTTTCTTTAATTTAAAGTTCTTTGGAAAAACTATAGATAGCATAATTTTCACTGTATAATAAACGACTGAATCTTTTTGTTGTACTTGTGTTTTATTCATATTTAATTATGATTGCAAACAGTTTTTTAATTTTTTTTTTTGCCAAATAATATCTGTATTTCATAAATAAATTTTGGATTTTAGATAAATAATATTTTAAAAAGAAAATTTTTTGTTATTATTATATTCTAGTGCAGATTTTTCATAATTTTATTATTTTTTTTCAGTAAATCTTGATAAAAATATCAGTTAAACCTTTTTTTTTTTTTTTGAATACATTTCAGTTTTTCAAGTTACACTATTTCTGTAAAATGTTCAAAATTAATTATAAAATCATTAATTTTATTCAAAGATAATTTTAAGTTTTAAATATTTATTTTCACATAATTAAATAGTTATTATTATTATTATTTTTTTTTTTTTGGGTCAATGTAAGAATTTTATTTGAAAATTAGGTTTTCTAAAATATTAATAAGTTCTTATTAAGGTGTACTGCAAATTTTTTTTTTTTCATATTTTTCACCCATAATCTATATATATATATATATATATATATATATATATATATTACTACAATTTTACCATAAGTTAAACATGTAATAATGACGTTTTATATTCGTCTACATTGTTCTTTGTCGAGCTTGCCTTTTATCATTTCATATGTGTTTTCTTTTTCTTTTTTTTTTTTTTTTTTTTTTTTTTTTTTTTAACGTGGTAGTCGGTGATCAGAATTTGTAAAAGAGACAACTATTCTTTTACAGTGTGTAGTTTTACTAGCTTAATTTTTATAATTTATGCGAGATTAAAATGGTTATATAGCAATGAGTTTTTCTTTATTTTTTTCTAATTAACGATTGGCAAGCAATTTTTTTATCCAACAAGGTAGTATTTTTTTCTTTGTAATGATGTAGTAAAAAAATTTAAATATCATAACTTGAACTTGTGAAATATATATTTTACGTTAGTATATACTATTAAAAAAAAAATGATTGTAAAAGTTAAGTTAAATTTACATGATTGATGGTTTAGTTAAATTTTTACAATATCTTGAATATGTTGTTAAAAAATTTTGTTTTCTAAACAAGTTTCTTTTTTTTAAAATTCTATGTTTGTTGTAAATTATTTTTTTTTAAAACTCTAATTTAAAAATCTTTTTTTTTTTTTTTTCTTAAAACCTCATAATGTTTTTTAAAGTCTTAGAGAACCATAAGTAATTGTTAGGTAAAATTTAAATGGGTTGTTTAAAAAAAATACGGCACCACGCATTTCCAAAATATTAGTCATTTTAATACTGAACAAGTTTCTTTCCAATGCACATGACATCATTGATTTGTAAAACTATTATTGAATTTTACATTAAAACCCACGATTAAAAATTACCACCTACTATATAAGTTCTCCGGATGTGAAACTTATTAATTAAACTTCAACATTTTCACTGAATAAGTTTTGTAAAATAATTTTGATTCGCGTTTGAGAAACGTAATATAATAAAGTATCGAAATAGTTTTATTAAACATTTTATTTATTGATAAATAAAAAATATAAAGTAAATGAGATATAAAGCGCTGGGTCGCAATAATTGAAATTACTTTTAATTGTATTGATATTGTACATTTTTTTTGATACTAGCCTCATGCCGAAAAAAAACATTTCTTTTTTTTTTTAAAGAGATTTAATATATATATATATAAATTTTATTCTTACTTCGTTTGTCAGTCTAATTAAAAAATTACTTTTTCCATTTATCTTTTATAAAAATGTATGCATAAAATTAAATGTTAGTTTTATTCTTTTTAACTTTTTATGGTACTAAAAATTGTTGTTATTATTATTATTATTATTATTATTTTTTTTTTTTTAAAATTTTTAGATTGTTTAATCAATAACTTTTTATGCGGAGTAAAAACAAGAAATAAAAATCAATAATAGTTTATAAGATTTTAAATAAGAAGCCACAGGCAATTATTGTATTGTCATTTTTATTCGTATTACAGTATAAAATAATATTAAAATAGTATTTATAATTTTTTACTTTGTACCGTGCAAATATTATTTTTAAAAAAATTTATTAAATTTTTTTATTGACCATATTATTTTTATTTACTTTTATAATTGAGATATAAAAATATTAATATTTTATTAATTTATAAAATGACAATTATTTAAAATAATGAAGGGTGTAATTTTTGTATTTTAAATTTTCATTGATTATTAATTTACCAATCCTTATAATTTATTATTTACCCCGAACCAAAAATCTTTTTTTTTTTTTTTTTTTTATACTGTAATCAAATTTAATATTTAAAAAATCCAATAAAGGAATTTTTTTCTTTAATATATTTTTTTTCTATTAGTTTACGTTATTTATAACTTTTGAAAATAGCGTTTGAAAAATACGTGGGTCATATTGGCATTGAAATTTTTACTTAAGTTGCTTATAATATTGTTTTTTTTTTTTCTAAATAGTGCCGTAATTATTATTATTATTATTTTATTTTATTGTAAAGATGAATATTTATTAAATTAATAAATTTATTTTACATTAATATTTTTTCATCTGGAACATAATTATCTCACTAAATAATAAATTTTCTATAGAGAATTTAAAAATGATAATTATCCCTTAATATCAATCGTTTAAATAATTTTATTGTATTTTATATTCGAATAAAAAATTTTTTTTTTTTCAATAAATTATTAAGTTACTATAATTTTATATATATGTAGCTATAAAAGTTTTTTTTTTTTTTTTAAATTAAGGCGATGATTCTGAATTAAGAGAATATATAGAATTAAAATATTATTTAATAATTATTCATTTATTATATTTTGCAAATTTTTTTATTTTTAAACTTTATAATCTCAAAAGTTTAAATAAAAAAAAAATTATTTAATTAATAATAATAAAATTAATTGTAAAAAAAAAAAAAAAAAAAAAAAAATTTTAATTTAATGTTTGTCGTCGTAGTCTAGAGCCAAAGAGCACCTACTCTTGAGTGTGACGTAAATTTTTTATTTAAATTTCAAATACAATTTTTTATGATAATCAATTATTGTGTTTACCATTTTTCCAATGTGACTTGTGATAAAAAATTTTTTTTAATTTTTTTTTGTTTTTATTTTATTTTATTTTTTAAAATGCTTATTTAGTTTGAACGAATCTTTCTTTTCTTCCTGAATTTATTTTACAACAATGTGTATTTACCATGGTAAACATAATTAATTGCGAAGAATAATAAAATGATTACGTAAAAATATAAATAATAAATAACTAGTACAAAATGTAATCAATAAGCTTTGTTTTAAATCATTAATACATATATTAATATTATATATGTATATATTAATATATGTATATATATATATATATATATTTTTTAATGGCAGAATATCCAAAGGAAGGAGAACACAACTGTGTCACACGGAATCCAATTCAATGCCTCGATAGCTTTCCTTATAGAGAATTTTCTCAAGGTTTACTATTATAAATTAGGCGTTTTATATTTTAAGTAGTAGTCATTGAACATGCTAATACTTATAATATGAAATTTGTTGTCTCTAGTGGGTGTATCACCTTTCATTATATATGTTAAATGTGAATTAACTAATTACGTTTTTTGATAGATTTTTTATTTTCCTATGTTTTACTGTGTGTGAGTTTTCAATTAAACTAAAAAAAAAAAAAAAATCATTTTGTGAAAGGGAAACCATACATTTTTAGAAAAGTTTTAATGTGTAAGCAGTAAGAGTTTTTGCCTTTTATTAACATAAATTTAAAAATAATAAAAAAAGAGTCAGCTCAATTAATGAATTTAAAGCGTTATAAAATTTAAATATATATATATATATATATATATATATATATATATATATATATGTATAATAATATGGATTTTATTTTTCTTCTAGTAATAGTCTAATGATCTAAGCCGCTTTAACTTTAAACATTATTTAAACAATAAATAATTAGTTACAAGTTAAATTTTTAACGTGTGTATTTTACACGTTAACTCGGAAAATTATTAGTTTTTTTTGTAATAACAATTGTGAGTGTATTTTGTTGAAACGAAATCACGGATTGTCATTATTTAGAATGTGCAAATTTTATAGAAAGTTCACAATAATAATCTATTTATTTATATAATATTATAAGGTTTATTTTTATTGTAATTTTTCATGCGAAAAATTATTTTGTTCTGGTTCATTAATTGACAAATACATTTAAATATAACTTTTTTACATAATGGTTTTATATGGACAAGTTAAAAATTCTTTTTTTTTTTTTTTTACAACAAAATAACCCATAAGTTTAAAAGAAAATACGATGCTATATGTATATATTTAAATTTTATTTTAAAAATAATAATAATACTTATTATTATTTATAAAAATTAAAAGATTTTAATGTATTTAAAACTTTAAATTTTTTTTTATTGATTTTAGTGCCGTAATGGTGGACTACTATCTAGTCCTGGAAATAAGTAAAAATGCTACAAATAATGATATAAAAAAAGCTTATAGAAAGTTAGCTTTAAAATGGCACCCAGATAAAAATCCAGATAATCAGGATGAAGCAAATCGAAAGTTTAAAGAGATCTCAGAAGCTTATGAAGTTCTTTCTGACGGTGAGTATAAAAAAAACTTAGCTTTTCCTCAATTTTTTTTTTTTTTATGTTATTATAAAATGGGCTCGTGAATTACGTTTTTTATGAAAAAAAACAAATTTTTTAAAAGGTCATTACTATGTTTAATTTTAATTAAAAACTTATTTTGCATTTACCGCCTAAATCTCACTTTGTTTCTTTTAAAATCTTATTTCAATTTGTCGGTTATTTTTATTTTTTTTCATTTTGCATGATATATTTTAATAATTGATTTTGTAAAGTTATATTATTTTAATTTTTCTGCTTTTTGTTTTAATGTTGTGTGCTATTATCATTTTTTATTATCAAGGTGTTTTTCTGTTAATTTTTTGTTTATACAAAACTACTTGATTTTATTTTAAAAAATTTTTACTCCTGAAAAATGAAAGAGAAGAAAAAAAGAAAAAGGAAATTTTTTTTTTTTTTTTTGGGAATACTAATTATATTATGTTTTGTTTAGATCATAAAAGAAGGATTTACGACAGGCGTATGACTTCAGGCGGGTACAGGTCTACTGTTCAAAAACAGACCGATAATAGTTATAGGCCCTTTGGCTCAGGTTTCTGCAATGGTTCAAAAACCAATCGAAATTATAATTTTCGAGGTTTTTAAAGTTTTCCTTTCCTCTAATTTTTTTTTTTTTTTTGGCAATGCTTTGAAACAACGATATATATATATATATATATACATACATAGCTTTTTAATTGCTCTTATAAATTATTACAAAATAGGCCCGTTTTTAATTATAGCTTTTTAATTTTTAATTTTTATTTTTTTTCTAACATTTAAATCTTGTTTTTTTTTTGCCAACTTAAATGTTAATATATTAAAAGTAATGTGTGAGTTTTTAATACCCGCAAAAATATTTTCTCAGAAGTTTTTTTTTTTTCTTTCGAAAAGTATAATTTTATTATTAACGACGAGTATATTGTAATTTAAATTATTTTTTAAAAATACATTAACAAATTTTTTATTACTATAAAAAATGTAAAAAAAAAAAAGCGACATGTTATTATTTTTTTTTTTAAATAATTTTTGCGTTACTGTGGGCAACTTTAATTACAAAAATTTTTTTATAAACCAAAAGAATAAAAAAAAAAAATTTTAACCGCGATGTAAATTTTACCGTATAAAATTGTTTTTAATTTAAATAAAAGGACAAATATTACGGTTAATGTCTTTCTGGCATGGCAAATTCTCTTTCTCTTTCTATCTCTGGCACGTTCCACATATATATATATATATATATAAATTGATATATTAACAATTGTTTAAAAAAAAATTTTCATGTTCATTATCATCTCATTTTTCATTCTTTTTAAACCGAATAATACTCCAGTGAATTTTTTTTTTCTTTCAACTTAATCCAATATACATAAAAATTTTTTCGAGGTAAAAAGTTTTGTTATTTATTTTTGTAAATAATAATAATAATAATAATAATAATAATAATAATAATTTTATATCGAAATAAATTATTATCGCGATAATGTATTTAAATTTTAATTAGGTCCTTTTACTTGAAGTATGTTTGACACGCGTAACTGAAATTTTCAATTTTTTTTTTTTTTTATCAATAAGGAAACTGATTTGTAAAAAATTTAAATCTTAGGTATAATACTCGATTTTTAATATGAGTTATTTCAATTTTGTTGGGAGTGTGATTAAAACTAAAAAGAAAATGAATATTTTTCATTTTAAATTTAAATTTTAAATAATTATTAATTGAAATCATTTATTTGTTTTTTTTTTTTTTTTAGCGAAAAAACGAAGAATATATGATGAATATGGCGTCGAAGGTTTAAGTTCCAACGGAAGGGGTTCATCTAGACGGGAACACGATTTTATGGATCCGTTTGGAGGTTTCGAAGGATTCAGTTTCACCTTTAGAGATCCTGAAGAAGTTTTTAGAGAAGTGTTTGAAGGATCTTCAATCCACGATTTATTATTCGGTAAGTTAACCAAAAAAAAAAAATTCTTTTTTAATGCATCTATTAAATTTGAAACCCAATTTTTTCCGGGTGTATCATATTGCAAAACCATTGTTATTCATGTAAATACGAATTTATTTTATTTTAAAAGTCATATTATTTAAAATAACAAGTTGTCAAGTTTTATTTTATTTATTTATTTCATTAATGATTTAAATAAATAAATAAAAGAAAAAACAATGTGTTACTTATTGTATTTTTCAACAGGTGATTGATTGATTCTATCACTAATACTTTTATTGATTCTATAACTGTAGAGTTAAATTTTTTCAAACAGGATTTCATGGTAACAGAGGTAGATCAGGTCACAGATCTGGGTCTAGAAATTCCTACCCAGACCAAAGTATTTCAAATTTTAGTCCTTTTAGTTTTGGCTTTAACTTAGATCAGTTTACCAATGGCGGGTTCACAAGTTTCCGTTCGTTCAGTCCGAGCGTACGCAGAAATAATCCGAACGTTCGATCAACTTCCATTTCTACAAGATTCATTGATGGAAAAAAAATAACAACCAAAAAGTAAGTTGAAAACTCAATTTGATCATAATAATATTAATAATAATAATCATCAAACTTTTTATCGTCGTCACAAAATTATAAAAAAATTTTTAATATTTTTTTTTATTTTTTGTTAACTTAAGTGAATTACACATCATTTCTATTTCACAATTGAATTAATATTAAATTATCAATTTTTACTAATAATTCAAGTAAATTAATTTTTCTTTTTACCAACAGTTACTTACTCATTAAAGTTATCTGATGTACTTATTGTTTGTAAAAAAAAAAAAAAAAAAAGAAATTTACAAATATTTATATTTTTAGAATAATTGAAAACGGCCAAGAAACCATCATGACTTACGAAAATGACGTTTTAACATCAAAATCAATTAACGGAGTGCAGCAATCCATTACAATGCATTAGTGGAATCTACGGGAAATAAAAAAAATAAAATTTTTTTTTTTTTTTTTAAAGTGTTAAAAACAAAACAAAAAAAAAACAATGTTAGATTAAGATTATGATACATTTAGGTTAGTTAACTTGGCAAAGTTTCATGATTTTTATTTTTTTTTCACATTAGTTGTCAAATTATTATGTAGTTACGGAATGGGTAGAAAATCTGAAGCATAAAAAATTTGTGGCTGAATATGTGATTTTTTTTTTTTTTTTTTAAAAAAAACAATTAAATTGTTTATTTTTTATTATTTCGTGTTCTACGATTTAATTTTTTTCATTTCAAACTTAAAAAAAAAAAAAAAAAAAAAAAAAAAAAAA